CCCCCCCCCCCCGTTCATTCCTGGGGAGTCTCCCACGGATCGAGGCCTTTCGATCTCCTTTCGGTCCAGCAGGGCCATCTCTGCCCTAGTGGCCAGAACAAATGGGGCAGCTGGGAGCAGCGGGGGGGGGGGGGGGGCCAGCTGCCCCTCTGCAGGATGCTCTTCCTTGGGGGGGTCAGCCTACCCCCTCCCAGAAGCGTCTTCCCTGGGCAGTGTTACCTAGAGCCAGGTGGGCAAGGGCCAGGCTGATGCTAAGGGGTGAGAAGAGGGTGTTGCCCCTGCCGTCCTCCGCTTCCATCTCCCGCAGGAGGTCCACCCCCAGGGCCCTCATAGCCGAGGCGATCTGGCCCACGCTTCCAGAAAGGTCCCGGTCCCGGCAGCCTTCCTCCTCCTCCTCCTCGAGAGAATTGGGGAGCCCCCCTGGCCCCCTCTGGCCATCCCCTTTGTCTGGAAAGTGGGGAGGCAACTTTGTGGGGTCCTGAAGGGCCTCCTGGGACGCGGGTTCTCCAGACGGGATCTCCACCGGCTGGACCTGCAAGAGAAGAATGTCCTGCCAGGAGCCCTGGGTTCAAGGCAGGCTCCTTTGGCAGGCTGCTGCTCCGTGCCCTGGAAAGCCCCAACCGCCTGTTTCCAGACGGAGCCCGGAGGTCAGGCAGTCAGACTTGGTTGCTTTCTGGCAGACATTTCATTGCCCAGCTAGGTAGTCTCATCAGTGCTGGGAGGGAGGGAGGGCGGTTTGCTCTGTGTTGTTCTAGAAGTGTTGACGTTGGGGGTTGGGTTCTTGGCATTGGTACCAAGTTCAGTTCGCAGCTCCCTGACTGGGGAATTGTTTACTTCTGGATTGCTGGTCTGTTATTAATGCTTGTGCTAATCTTGGCTCCCCTGGGTGGGCAGGTCCCCTCCCCAGCGATCAACACCCTTCAAGGGGAAGGGGACCCATCTGGAACAGCCCTCTGGACAGCCGGCCTCAAAGGAGATACACCAACGGATCCTGGCCCGTGGAGGGACTCAGGCCAGATTATCCAGAATCGAGCTGGAAGGGACCCTGGAGGTCTTCTAGTCCAACCCCTTGCTCAAGCAGCAGGCCCTCTACCATTTCAGACAAACGGTTGTCCAATTTCTTCTTTAAAGCTTCCAGGGATGGAGCCCCCACAACTCCTGGTGGCCAGCAGTTCCCCTGGTTAATTGTCCTCCCTGTCCTCCTTCATTCCGGGTTGCTCCTCTCCTTGGTCAGTTTCCATCCGTTGCTTCTCTGCCTTCAGGGGCTTTGGAGAAGAGCTTGACCCCCCCTCCTCTTCTCTGGGGCAGCCCCTCAGATACTGGGATCCAACTACCGTGGGCCCCCTCCTCCTCCTTTTCTCCAGACTCCCACCACCATTCCTTCCTTTGCTTTTGTCTCTGGGCCTTTCGGCATCCTAGCTGCTCTGCTTTGATCCCAGCTCTAGCCCAGCCTGCTTCCAAGACCCTCTGCCGCTGCCCTGGACTGGCAGCCGCAGACTCTGGGAACTGCCTGCCCAGCCGAAGGAGGGAGGGAGGACGTCCAGGGCCTGTGCTTGGCCTACAAAAGGGACCCCCCCCCGCCGCCGTTTCCTCTCCCAGCTGCCCTTCGCACACCGCTTGGGCCGGTGCCCCCACGGGCTGCTCTTCTGGAGTTTCACCTTTGCCCCCAGCGCTGGCACATTCCCCTGCGCCAGGCCTACTTCTCCCTGCCTCTGCCCCAAGTGGGCCTCCCCGCTCTGGGGGCCCTGCGAGACCCTCCCACAGCCCTGCCCGCCAAGGCCCTCGGTGCTGAACTGTCGGGCTTTGCCCCCTCGCTGACCTCCGTGCGTCCTTGCAGGTTGGGAAAGCAGGATTTGAACCTGCTTCATCGGCTACGCACACACAGGCACCCAGACGACCTGAGCGGCCTCCCTCCTTACCAGCAGGCTGTTCCTCTGGGCACCTTCATCGCAGCCCACGTCCTGAACAAAAGTGGCCTGAAAGAAAAGCCCTCGGTCAGCCTCTTGCCCCCTGCTGCTCTGGCTCGCCCTCTGCAGGGGGTGGCATCCAAAAACGGGCTGCGGAGGCTGGCGGAGCCACTTTCGGGGGAGCCTCAGGGGGGGGGGGCACACCAACGGTGTAAGTGGAACAACGCCGCCCATGTCCCCCTCGGCCACCAGCCTGACCACGGCAGCCTGTGGGAGGGAGACCACGGCTCTCTCAGCTACTAGCCATAGAGGCCTTCTTTCCAGGAGGGGCCAGGATTCGATCCCAGACCTGGGCAGGGGTGGCTGCCCCCCCCACAGGAGGATCCTCAGGGGGAAGCGAGTGGCAACTCACCTGCTCTTGGCTGGCACACGCAGCAGGCAGGCAGGAGGCCAGCAGCGCCCAGAGCAGCAGAGCCATCAGGAAGCGCGGGGGGGCGGGGGCGCGGGGGGGCTGCGGGAGGGAAGAGGCTGCGCTGACCTGGGGCGCTTCGGGGGCCAAACTGGGGTGCCTGCTTCCCCCCCTTCGCCTGCAGGGCCCCGGCACCAAGTGGCACTGGCTGCAAGTAGCCTGGCTCCTCGTTGGCCCTGGAGGGGAAGTGCCGCATTTCCTGGGGGGGGAGGGGAGTGCCAGCCTCCCCCACCCAGATCCGTCACCAGGACACAGGAGTGGCCTCCACACCGCCAAAAAAGGGCAGAATTCCTGTCCCCCCCCACCCCCGCCCCCCCCCCCCCCCTGCCCCCACCCCAGCCTGCCCCCTACTTGGTCTCCTTCCGTGAGCAGCTTTTCCCCACGGCTCCGCCGCTGTCCCTCTGGAAGGGGCCCCAGCCTGAGCAGGAACTTCTTCCCACCCCCGCAGACAAATATTGACTCTCGGTATCCAGTTAAACATTTGTTCAGAATCATCTCAGGTCCAGGGAGCAAGGCGACCCCCCCCGGCCCCTCCCCTTTGCCGGGGGGGGGGCGGGCCCCAGCCCTGGGCCCTAGAGGAAGCCCCCCCCCCAGCCCCCACCTGTTCCTCATGAGGGTTTAGCCCCTCCTGAGCCCCTCTGAGCAGGGGGGGGAGAAAACACACCTCCCCCCAATAGCCCCGCCTCCCCCCCCCCCCCCCCCCCGCGGCCCCCCCCCCCCCCCCGCCCCCCCCCCCCCCCCCCCCGGCGGGGGCCCCGTGGCCAGTTCATGGGCGGGGGGGGGGGGGGCAGGAAGGCAGCGGAAGACCCCCCCCAAGCTTTGCCAAAAGAGGGCGATGGTGGTGGTGGGCTTCCGCGGAGGCCATTGAGAAGGCAGGATCGGGCCCACCCAGGAGTGAACCTCCCTTGATTAGCCAGCCGCTCCAACCCCCGGGGGAGGGGAGGGCAGAAGCCCCCCCACAACTCCCCCCTTGGACTCTCGTGTCCAGCAAGGAGGGAGGGGACCCTCCTGCTGGGGGGGGGGGCGTGACCCACTTCCACACCCAGGAAGTCCTTGGCTTACAGGAATCGGGAGCAGAATTTCCACCGCTAAGCAAGGCAGCTGATAAGTGGCTCCTGCCCTATTTTACGACCTTTTTGCCAGGTTGTTAAGCGAACCACAGCAGTTGCTAAATGAATCGTGCAGGTGTGAAGCAGATCCAGGCTCACCGCTGACGTCGCAAAGCGAGTGGCCATGGGAGCCCCGGACGCTGCGGCTGCTGCCAACGCCAACCGACGGAGTGACCAAACTCTGCCCTGGGACCCCTCAGTCCCCTCAGTCCCCGGCCAGGCTGGCCTCCCCCACGGCAGACCCCGGGCGGCCCCTCCCCCACAGGGGCTCTGGAGGCTGAAGGGCAGCGGAGGGAGGGCCGGCACTCAGCCAGGCCAGGCCAGCGTAGCCTCAAATCCGGTTCCCAGTGGGGGGGGGGGGCGCGTCAGCCCCCCGCGGCCCCTCCCGGCGGCTGCCGCCCCCCCGGGGCGGGGGGGGGGGGGGGGGGGGGGGGGGAAAAAGGGGGGGGGGCAGAAAGGCGGCAGCTCTGCCGTTTCTCTGCTCCCCCTTGCTCAGCAAGAAGTCATGGAGCGTCCCAGCTTCTCCGGAGGTTTATTCCTTGCAAATCGTTCAATCAACACTGAGAACACCCCCCAGCCCCCCCCCCCCAGTTGCAGGGAACAAAGTGCTGGGCTGGGCTCTCTCAAGGTGTGTGTGTGGGGGGGAACTAAATGCATTTCTAGCACACCTTCAGGGTGGGGCGACCCCCCTACAGACCGAAAGATTCAGTGTGCAGCCAAGGCGTTTCTGGGGAGGAAGATCAGGGGTTGGAAGGGGGGGCAGGGGGGGGGCTTCCAGCTCTCGTCCAACCATGGGAGGCGTTGGGTGGGGCAAGCACTCCTCCCTGCCCAGAAGCCCCTCCCCCAAAGGGCAAATCAGGGGTGGAGGGAGAAGCCCAGCGGGAGAGTCCTGTCCGACCCCGCAAAGGCCGTGGGATCGGCCGCTCTTCCCTCTCTCCAGCTGGCCCCCGACTTAGGGGAGAAGGGCACGGCCCCCTTTCATCTCTGCCAGTCTCCAGGGAGCATCAGGCACATACGGTGATGGAGGATGCTGGGGGTGGCTTGGGCCGCCCTGCAGCAGCACTACGGGGGGGGGGGGGGGGGCCCCCAGCCCTCCCGCCCCCCCCCCCCAGGGCTGTTGGGGGCATCCACAACTGTCCCCCTCCGCTTCAGGTGCAGGGGCTACGCCAGCAGCCGGACAGTGCCGTTGTCCGAACCCAGCAGCAGGTGGCACTTGGTGGGAAGGAGGGCCAAGCTGGTGAGGGTCCCCCGGAAGTTCTCGGAGCTCAGCTTGGTGGGGCCGGTTGTGGAGGGACCCTGGAAGGCGTAGACGCTGATTCTGTTGGCCACCGTGCCGGCCACCACCTTGTGGCCACAGAGGTCGAAGGTGTGGACGGGCTCCGAGGTCGATTTGTACACCTGCAGGGGCTTCGGCTCCAGGTCTTTCCAGACGGTCAGCGAGTGGTCAGAGGAGGAGCTGACCAGCACGTTGCCCTCTGTGGCCTACCCGGGAGAGGGAAGCAGCCCGTGAGCACCGACCCAGCGGTGGGAGGGCCCGGGAGAGGGGCCACAGCCCTTCTTTGCCCCTCTCCAGGATGGAAGGTGAGGCCGGGGGGGGGGGGGCTGCTAGCGGGCAATGCCCACCCCCAACCGGCCAGTGCTGAGACCAGAGGGGGCTGCAGGCTCCGTGGGGCCCCTGCTCTTCCGCCTGTGGAGCCAACCCCACCGGTCAGTCCAGGGGAGGTGCCAGCCCCTTGGCCAAGCGATGCCAGGGCGAAGGGGGTGACCGGCACAGGAGCCAGGACCAGGACAGGGCCTGGGAGGGCCTAGGCCCAGCCGCTCACCTTGACCTGCAGGATGTCTCCCTCGTGGGCTGACCAAGCTTTCTGGATCAGGCCTGTTCGGGTGTCCAGAAGGACCATGAAGCCAGAGGAGAAGCCGGCTGCCACGCTGCGCCCGCTAGGACTGACAGCCAGGCAGCGGATGAGCCCGGCGTTGGGCCCGCTGGCCAGCCGGAATTCCTGCTGCAGAGCCGAGAGGGGAGAGAGATGTGGTGGGTCACCCCCCCGCCATGAAGACCCTCCCCAGCCCAGGAAAAGAAGAGCAAGACGGGGGGGGGGGGGGCTCCAGTACTCCCAAGCGCTACCTGCCAGCCGGGCTTCCGGTGGTCGATGAAGCGGAGCACCGAGTCTGCGCTGGCGATGCTGACGCTGCCGTAGGGGGCCGGCATGGGGCAGAGGGCGGTGATGGGTGCCTTGGAGTCCAGCGCTTCGAAGCTGCGCAGCCCGCTGCCTGCAGAAGAGGCCGGCTGAGGGAGGGGGCGGCCCAGGCCTTGGGGGAGGGGCCCTAAGCCCACTCCCCAATGCCCCGGCCCTCACCAAAGAGGGGCTGTGGGGCAGGCGCAGGGAGAAGGGCCTCCGATTCCCCCCCCCCAAAGCGTCTTTCTGCAAGAATGAAAAGCGGGGGGGGGGGGGGGAGGAGTCCTGCAGGCCTGAGAGCCCCTTTGGCCGTGCAGCTGGCAGGGCCCCCTGCCAACCCCCCCTTTCCTGAGCGGGCCTCCCGGCCAGGGCGTCCAGAGGGGGCTGCTTTCCTCCAGCTCAGGAAGGAAGGGGCCCCGCCGTTCAGAGGAGTCAACCCAACCAGGGCACCAGTTTCGGGCCCCAAGAGGGGGGGCAGACCCCGCAGCCTGGAGCCTCAGGAAGACTCTCTGCCAGGGACGGGCCAGGAGGGTCACAGAAAGAAGCCCCTCCCCCCCAGGCCCTGGGCCAAGCACCGCGGGCTCTGTCCAGGCCATCTGCCTACCCGTGGGGGCGTCCCAGATGTGGATGGTGCCGTCGCAGCTGACCACGTGCTGCGGGGCCTCCAGCAGGCCGACATAGAAGACGGACTTCTTGTGCCGGTCGTAGGTCAGCCGGGGTTTGGCCTCGTGGCTACCGTCCCCCCGGTTGTAGAGGGGCCACAGGCGCACGGTCTTGTCCTTGCTGCCGCTCAGGAAGAAGTCCTCCCCGCCCAGGGGGGCCAGGCACTTGATGGCGCCCCCGTGGCCCACAAAGCTCTGCAGCTTGATCTGGTGGAAGTGGAAGGGGGCCTCGTGCTGGCCAACCCCGATCTCGTACTGCCAGTAAGCCAGCCAGTTGCCCAGGAGGAGACGGGTGCTGGGCCGCAGCTCCTGCTTCAGCGTATCCTCTTCCTGGCCCCCCAGCTTGGGGCAGAGGCCCCCCCCGCCCCCGCCCGGGAGTTCCTGCTGGGCTTCGGAATTCACCTGGATCCGGTTGCCCACCAGCACCCCCCCGAAGGTGCCCGATCGCGGGTCCTCGGGCAGGGCGGAGGAGGGCTCGGCTCCCAGCGCCTCCTGCTCCGAGGGGGCCCGGCCTGGTCCAGTGACCACCTGCCTTTCAGACGAGGGACTGGCCTGCTCCAGGTGAAGGCTGGCCAGCTGCCTGACCGCTGCGTGGTTCAGCACAATCGTGTGAAAGGCGTCGCCTGCCGGGAGGGGAGAAAACAGCTGAGAAAGGGGAGTCCTGCTCCCAGGAGCCCCAAATGGGGAGAGGGTAATTATCGCAAAAAGCCCCGAGAAGATTCCTGCAGACCAACTGACAGGAACGCCCAGCCTCCTTCTCTTGCGGGGCACGGGAGGGACGAGGAGCAGGAACGGGAGGGGGGTCTCACCCAGCAGAGAGGAGAAGGGCGCAAAGGCAGCGTAGGCCATTTCTGGGCCGAACACTTTCTGGAACTCCAGAAGAGCCGAGGGGTCCAGAGACGGCGGCTGGCCCTGCAGAAAGGCAGAAAGAAGCGGCTGGCCACTCGCCCATCTCAGACCAGGGGCCCTGGGGGAGAAGTTCAAGGGCGCCCCCAGCTCATTCCAGGGGCAGCTGCTGTCCAGCCACGCCACCCAGACTGGACAGCTGCAGGAGCCCCTCCGACCCCCCTAGCAGAATCCCAGAGGCACATCGAAAGAAGGTCCGGCTGGGCACTGAGCATCCCTGCCCCCCAGCCGTGGCCTCCCCCATCCAGGACCCTCCCCTCCCCAGGGGACTCACGGACTCCAAAGGCGGCAAGGAGAAGCTCTCGAAGAAGCCCCGGAGGGTGTTGCGCAGGTGTTGCTGCGCCATCTCGGGTCCGATCCGTGAACAAACCAGAACCATCAGGCGGATGGTTTTCAGGCACAAGACGACGCGGCCCTGGACCCCACTGGGGAAACTGGAGGGAAGAGACACTCGGCACCCGCTTCTTTGCCCAGCAGGCCTCCCCGGTGCCCCCTTAGCTGCCACCCAGCCGCCCCTCCGAGGGGACCCCTTGCTGCGCAGTCGCTGAAGGGAGACGCCGAGGTTGTTCTGGCCGCAGCCCCCTGCCCCCCTCCCGGCCAGGCACACCTGAGGATGGGCGAGGTGAGGAAGCCCAGAAGGGGAAGCAGGACCTCCTGGCTGATCCTGGGCAGGATGTCCATCAG